TTTAAACCCCCGACCCAGATAATTTGTTACATAAAAGTGAACAACCAGTAGCTAACCAGGACATTTATATTATCTGCTGCTCCGTCTTTAGAAGCCTTCCTTTCTTCCTATTTGAGCTGGTCCAAGGTTCGCTGCCCAAGTTTCCTCTTCTGAGGTGGCTCAATTCCTTTGCGGAAGCCTATGGAGCCTTCATGTGCACTCCAGGTAGAGAGACTCAAAGCCTATGTTGAGATGCTGCCTGTGCTAACTTGCAAAGGCAGCCAGAGCAAACTGAAAGGGGCGTACATGTGTGGTGGTGTTTGGAGTCATGGGACATGTAGTCCCAAGGGGGGGGGATGGATCAATGGACTGTGTATTACAGTTATAAATTGCGTGCCCCATGGCAGAAAGTTTGGGGGAGTGGCACAGGAAATACTGTAATATCGCACCCAGCCTGTATAGATCTGAGGCTGCAAAAAATACATACAGAAGTATATTCCTCTCACACACCATAATGTGGTTAAAAGGGTGCTGCAATGACTGCCAACTGGTAATCGTGTACAACATGGATAAGATATGTCGCCAGCACACCAACAACCTTGCTCGAAAACAAAAAGCTTCTATTAATCATGCAATAAGAGAAGCTTCTATTGATCATTTAACAAGAGAAGGTTCTATTGATCATGTGATCATGTAATAAGAGAAGGTTCTACTGATCATGTGATCATGTAATAAGAGAAGTTTCTATTGATCATGTAAGAGAAACTTCTACTGATCATGTAAAAATAAAAGCTTTTTGTTCTGAAACAAGCTAGTGGGTTAGCGGTAGGAAAATGTTCAGAAAATGCTGTTTTGAAAGTAAATCAGTCATAAGGCAATTATATCTGTATTTCAATATATTGCATGACGACTCTTACCAACAAAAGTGTCCATCTTAAAAGGAGAACTATGGGGTCAGGGCTTTTCCCCATAGTTCTCCTTAGGGTAACGGGAGAACACAAACTAGCGTCCTCCCGTTACCCTAAGCTCAGTATACCGCGAGCTACAGCTCGCGGTATACTGAGACGCCGCAGCCGGAGCGGATCCCGACGTAGATGACGGGATCCGCCCAGCTGCGTGAGTGACAGCTGGCTCTGCCTATCTAGAGGCAGAGCCAGCTGTACCCCCCCCCCCCCCCCCCGCGCCCGCCAGTCAGCGCTGGCAGATCGGAGCGGGGAGAGGGGAATCCAGCCCCTCCCCCTGTCACGGCAGAGAGTCGTGACAGGATCGAGAGGTGAGCGAACGCCGGTATGTGTTCGCTCACCTCCCGATCTACTGAGCCGACCTGTGACAGTCTCATTGTCACAGGTCGGCTAGAACTATGAGGTGAGTGAAAAGCACTCACCATAGTTCTCCTTTAACTAAAAAATATTTGCCAAGATCTCAAACATATAATATTGAGGCTGAGATTTTATAAGTCTTAAAACATATGGCAAGCATGTAGTACCTGCCATGTTAGAAGGCCCCTTCTAGGCTCCGTTCACATCTAAGCCTTCTGAAAGCTAACTGCAACAAAACGCTCAAGACAAGGAATCCCATTCATTTCTATGGCTCCTGTCCACACCTGAGCGTCATGGTCACACAAAGCTTCCCATTGAAGTCTATGGGACCAAAAAGCTCTGCAATGTGCCAAAAGGTAGCCCATGTCACTTTTTCCAGTGACAGGCGTTTTTCTGCTTCCGCCAAAACCCTCGGCTGTGAACAGGGCCCACAGAAATGAATGGGAGTTCCTGAGCGTATAGGAGTCCCTTGTCTCAGCGTTTTGTCACACTTACTTTTGATCGACAAAACGTCTAGGTGTGAACGGGGACCAAGTCCTCATAGTCTACACATGACATGTCTAGCAGCGCAGATCAAAATATTAGGGCCCCCTTCATACTATGCCATTCCATTGGTGCACACAAGTTAACATGTGGTGCGTTAGCAGCCATTTTGCCCATGCATGACAAAAAAAACCCCAAAAAACAACAGACCTGCCCCTTTACTCTGCAGCGCACCACAACACAAGGCACATGCGCTGCGGTGTGCATCTGTTGGCACCTAGTGTACTTGTGCAATAGGGTGATGTTCTAAATAAATGG